CACTAACTAACTAGAGATAGTCGCTCGACTTATGACCACAATTGAGCTGCAAATTTCTGTTGCTAAGCGAGATGGTTGTTAACGTCGATTTTGTCCCAATTTTTTGGGTCACAATTGTTAAGTGAATCACTGCAGTTCTTAAATTCTTCCAGGAGGTGCCGCCACGTTGAAAGCGCCCACCGTACCGCAAACGCCTCCTTCTCCCAGATGGCCCACACCTGTTTGGTCATTTGTCAACCGTACCTGCTGGCTCTTTCCTGGGCACCGAGGAGGATGTCTTGACATTAGTGACATGGTTGTTAAGCGAACTGGGCTTCCCCCGTTGATTTTGTTTGTCAGAAGTTTGCAAAAGGGGATCGTGCGACTCCGGGATGCTGCAACCGTCATAAATAGGAGCCGGTGGCCAAATGCCTGAATTTTGATCACATGGCCATGGGGATGGCGCAACGGTGATAAGTGTGAAAAACGGTCACAAGTCACTTTTTTTAGGTGCCATTGTAACTTTCGAATGGTCACTAAATGAATGATTGTAAGCTAAGGACTACCTATGTTGTTTGATGGCATGGATTTTTGCAGTTGATTTTTATATGAGACACAAAACAAACAATTATAGTTTGTAGGTTTCTTGTGATAAAGAGGCTATCCCTCATTGACTCTTTTGTACTAAAATCCAGTTTCCAGTACAAGCAGGCAGGGAAGGGAATGGCTTCTGTCTGGCGATTGAGCCTGATTGGGATAACTCAATGTGCTGACTCTATTTAACGCTTCTGCTGGGGAGCCCTTTGGAACTTTAAGGCAGTGATTGCGAACCTTTTAGAGACCGAGTGCCCAAACTGCAACCCAAAACCACTTATGTATCATCGGGTGCCGGGTGGGCATGGCCCATTGGGTGGGTGTGGCCCATTGGGTGGGCGTGGCTGCAGTGGTAATGGCAGACTGGGTGGGACTAAAAAGTTCAATCAATCAATTCCAACTTTCGGAGAGCTTCTTTTTTCTCACGAGAAGTTGAAATTGATTGATTGATTGATTGAACCTTTTTTTTTTTGCACACGGCGGCGGAGGCCTAAAGCGAAAAGGTTTTATAAAACCCAGCTGAAAGCCGAGGACTGGGGCAATGGCGCGCATGCCCACAGAGAGGGCTCTGAGTGCCGCCTCTGGCACCCGTGCCATAGGTTCGCCACCACGGCTTTAAGGTGTGTAGAACCTGTAAACGTTACACTTGTTAGCTAAGTTACTTATTAGTCCACACCTTGAAGACTTATAGTTCCCCCACCGTGGGTCCTTGGTGCTCTCTGAACTTGGTGGTTTTCTTGCATATGTTTCATTACCCAAACTAGGTTTGGTAATCAGCTAGTTGGGTCATGAAAC